CAAGCAACACCCTCTGGGATCTGCCCAAGAAGAAGGAACTGAGCCACTGCAAAGCAGTGCCTCCAATTCCCAATCCCCTCAAACGATCCAAGAGGATCTTGTAATCGATTGTATCAAAAGCTGCTAAGAGATCTAAGAGCACCAGCAAGGCCACACTACCCCTGTCAATGCTCAAGCGCATATCATTAATCAAAGCAACCATGGCAGTCTCAACTTCAAATCCCACCCTAAAGCCAGTTTGAAATGGATCTAGATAATCGGTTTCATCCAAGACAGCTTGGAGTTGAAGAGCCACCACCTTCTCGATCACTTTGCTCAAGAATGGTAGCAACGAGACCAGCCTATAACTATTCATGTCCAGGGGATCCAGGAAGGGCTTTTTCAGAAGCAGCCTAACTGCCGCTTCCTTCAAACAGGATGGAACTAAGCCCTCTCTGAGGGATGCGTTAATGATGTTCTTAAGGAACATCCTTAATGCATCCCCTCCCTGGGCAGCCAGCCATGATGGGCAAGGATCAAAGGGGCAGGTAGTCTTCCTCACTCTACCAAAGAGCTTGTCCACATTATCGATACTCACAGATTGAAATTGATCCAGTAAAATCTCAGTAACAGAGTTGCTGGACACCTCGTCTATAGATTCTGTATCAATACTGGCATCTAAGTTGGCTCTTATCTGAGAGATTTTATCTGCAAAGAAGTTGTTAAACACATCGCAGCAGGCCGTTGTTGGGTTAAGCAGGAGATTCTGTGCAGGAGGAACCCATGTCAGTTCCCCTACCATCCTAGACGGGACTCTGCAGACGCAATACGTGCAGAGCAGAAGGATCTCTGTGCTGCATGTATTGCCTCTCGATAGGAATCAAGGAAATTCCTATGACGAGACTTGTCAGATAAGAGTCGAATTTTCCACCAGGAGTGCTCTAGTCATTGTCCAACCTGCTTCATCCTCCTAAGCTCTTCTGTATACCAGGGCTTACGATTTAAAGCGGGTTGGAAAGGACTCTTGGGAGTGATTGTGTTGCTAGCCTTGGTGAGATCGGTGTTCCATGTATTAACCAAAGCTTCAACAGAATCACTGGTGTTACCAGTCATTAAACCCTCTAAGGCTTTCTGGAATCCAATTGGTTCCATTAGCCTTCGAGGGCGGACCATTCTAATAGGTCCACCACCCCTGGAGGGGTGAGTTGTGGTTCTTTGGGGGGATGCAGACCAGAGCGTCCAGGACGCCCTGGTCCAGAGTGCCGCGGGGCCATGGCAGCCGCACTGCGGAGCTCCTGCGGCATCCCTGATTTAGCGCTCCTTCCTCAAGACAGGGAAAGTGTGCCCTAAAAGCGTCGGGCACACTTTCTCTGTCTTTTCAGCCACAGTGTGTCCAGTCGCTGTGGCAGGAGGTTGTCCCCAGAGCGCCAGCCGTGCGGCGGGCTGGCGGCTCCGAGGACGACCTCAGGGAGAGGAAGGAGCGCCGCGCATGTGGCTGCTTCTCCTCTTCCTGGCCTCGGAGATGGCTCAATAAGCCGTCTGCCGAGGCCTTTAGTTCGGCCTTGACCAGGAAATGATCCATCCATGACAAAGCAGAGGTTTTTGTAATCTCCGCCCACGGATGTTCCTGTTCCGAACTAAAGACCGCATCGAGAGTATGACCAGCACAATGAGTAGGCCTGATGACCAATTGGGATAGGCCCATGTTAATCATGGATTCCATGAACTCCTGAGCCACACCTATTAGACTTGATAAACTGGTCTCGAGTGGAATGTTGAAGTCGCCCAGAACTAAAAGCCTGGGCAACTCCAACAGAAACTCTGAGACCAGCTGTGTCAGCATGGTCAGGGAGTCTGGTAGACAGTAGGGTGGTTGGTAGACTAGCAGAATCCCCAAACTATCCCTGGTGCACAGGCTTAGGTACATACACTCAAAGTGGACTGTGTCCCGGACAGGTATCCTGGTCAAGCTCAAATTGTTTTTGTGAACCAGAGCCACTCCACCACCACCTGCCCACTTCTCCTTACTTGCTCACTAACAGAGTACCCTGTCAGGAGGGCCTACATTCACGTTATGGCACTATCCTCTCCCAGACAGGTCTCCATAAAGCAAGCCAGGTCGGCATCCTCTTCTGAGAGGAGATCGTAAATAATATGAGTCTTATTCTTGACTGACCTGGCATTGCGCAGGAGCAAGGTAAGGTTCTGTGGAATGACTTGTAGGCTCCCCATACCAGTTCGAGTGAGCTAAAGGTGAGACCTGCTGTAATGTATTATTGTATTACTGTTGTTAATTTGCTGTTTGTACTATTGTATCACTGTTGTTTTTTGTAATGTATCAGGGTATTATTGTTGTTCACCGCCTCGATTGGCTTGCCAGAGGGGCGGTATACAAATAAATCATATTATTATTATTATTATTAGTTATTAAACAACGGTCCCACCTTCTTTTGTAACATTGCCTCACTCTGCTGCCGCCATACCTCCCTTTCCCCCACATAACTTCAAGTCCCACTCCTGTAAGGCAATAATTCAACAATCATACTGCTCTTAGAAAATTAAGTAGATCAAATGTTATTTCTATGATTGTACACACCAATTGAGTCCTTTTCCACTTTAACATCAGGACCATGCTCAATTCTGCAGAGTTGGTGGTTTTTTTTTAAGTACATACCGCCACCCCCAGTTGCTTTTTTGGAAAACATTTATGTGCTTGTTTTGAGCTGTGCACATTATTTGAATGTGTCTCCGTCCTTATTTGCTGAAATGTCATTTAGCAGTTTTTTGTGCACATTTCAAATTTTGTAAATTGATCGGGATTTGGCATAATAAAATGAATATATGTATTATGTTACTCCGGGTGGACAACTTCAGAGGGTCTGGGGGTCATATTTTGTATACTCTGTACCTTAGAACAATTTATCCACCCATTTTTCAAAACTAGAATTTGGTCACATTTGCTTTTTAAAAAGACTTTTTAGGACCTAAAGCAGGAGGAGGGTGTTAAATAGCCTTTAAGTGCCTAGTTGTGCACTTGGAGCCTTCTGAGATGTGATTTGCCATTTTTTACACCAAACATGATTTTTAAGTATAGGGAATATTCACACACAGCAAAGAGTCTGAGGAACACACCAGGGATCCAGGTGGGCCATATTTTTTCCACCTCTAACATAGGATGAACATTTATTGTGATCACTCTTCAATTATGAATGTCCCAAGATGGTAAAACAAGAACTGGACATCACTGGAACCAGACACAGTTTAAGTAGTACCTACTGACATAATGATGGCTGATTCTCTTTAGAAAGAAATTCAGTTAGATCAGGTACAGAAAATATGTGGTCCTCCAGAAATTGTTAAACTGTAGCTTCCTCGTATTTCACTATTTGCTAGGCCATTTGGCACTGTTGAGAGTTAAAATTCAACATCTGGAAAGCCATAAATTTCTGATCCTTGTATTAGATGAAAGCTGAGAGAGGAAAACAGCTAAAATCATGAGTGACTGGTTTGGAGTTTCATTCAACAGCCATGCCAAGAGCCTATGAGTCCTACATGATGCCCTTTAGAACTTCATAGCTATCTGGTTTAGTTAATACAGATTGTTGTTGTGAGCTTTCAAGTCATTTCTGACATAGCCGCCTACAGAGTTTTCTAGGGCTGAGAGTGTGTGAATCATCCAAGATCACCCAGTGGGCTTTCATGGCTGAGCAAGGAATTGAACACCAGTCTCTAGGGTCATAGTCCAATGCTCAAACCACTATACCACACTGGCTCTCATTTATATGTCAATATAGCATGATAATTATTGCCAGCTAATTTCAGATCCAATTATTTAATTAACCTTATCTATTCCATCTATAGATAATGGTCAGCTGTTATGGTTTCTTGCTAATAGAATAGATTTTCTATCCAGACATCACAACAAGAATAATATCTATAGATGTAGGAAGAATCTCTAGAAATCTCTACAACAAACTTTGCTCTTACATGTCGGTGAAGGAATAATTTAAAAATTATAATGATCTCTTAGTGTCTGTTGCTGATTGCTTCACTACAGTGTTGGGTGCAAATGAGCAACATTTGCTATGGCGCAGAGTAGAGGGGGAAAAATGCTACCAGGTTGTAGAGTTGCTGCTGTTGCCGTTTTGAGTGAATTTTAAAAATTGTTGGAATATGGATAGGACATGCAGTCAAAGAAGAAATGTAAAGATGTGTGAAAAAATCTCTTCTGAGAAAAGTGTCTAAGCAAACAAAGAGGATTCAGCCTGCAGGTGGTTTAAAGCCAAAACAATTTTACACTGAACAGAATAACAAAAAAAACTTTGGGCCTGGGAAACAGGATACTGGAAGGTAAACATATGAGCTCATCTGATTTGCATAGGAACCAGGTCACATGGGGAGTGACACACAGCTGGGGGCTGGTCTAGAGGCTGGGATACAGCTGATCATCCTATAATTATGTAGGTTGACATCCAGGAGGTGGAGTTCTGGGTTGGGCCAGGTTTCCTTTGTCCTCCTTTGTTAAGAACTTGCCTTGCTTTCAACTGAACAACAGCAAGTTGTGATCCTATGGTCTTTACCATTTGCAAGATGGTTTGTACATACTTCTTTTCTGTTTTTACTATGCAACAATAAAGCTTTACATTTTATTTACAAATATGTCTTAATGGAAACAGCATTTCCAGGGTAGCTGGTGAAAGGAAGCAGTCTTCTGAACTCTGCTACATTTACATCACACAAATCAACAACAACAAAAAAAAAAACCTCAGGAAAAATAAACTAATCACTGCTACCAGCATTGCTAATGGTGATCCCCACTTTTAAGAAAATGCTGGAGAACTTCTGGGAAGATTTGGTGAGATACTTCACCTTCATCACTATTTCTGACTATGCAAATAGAATTAATTTTGAGAAGCCTTTTGTTTATAGGGTTAGTTTAAACTTCTCCCTAGCTATTTTCTCCCTAATTCTTCCCACACTCTCAAGGGAGCTGAAAATTAGGGATATTTAAGGACATTAGAGACTCATAATGGTGTAATGGTTTGAACATTGGACTCTGATTCTAGAGACCAGGGTTCAAAACACTGCTCAGTCATGTTCACCTTCTGTGTGAGAAGATTATAGATTGCTATGCTTACCTTATCTATTAATTACCTAAGGCAGTCATACTTTACCATTTGCAAGACTGTCTCACAAGAAGGCAGACACAAAACCACACTAAAGACATATTACAAAGAAAGATTTCTTGGCAAGGTTCACCTTGGAAATGCCATTGGTTGGAAAGGACTTGAAGACACACATCAGCAACAAATATGTCCTACTATGTTAAGACTGCTATGCTATTGGAATGGAAAGAATATTTGAAAATATTTTTAATGGTTGAAAAACATATTTTTTTTTCAAGTGCTGATAAATCTTGATAAAAATAAACCTGGATGGACAAGAATCTTAGCAGCTCAGGATGTATTCTGTGCAAAATTCATTAATTGTTTGTACAGCAAACAGCATTTTGTTTAGGTAATAGCATTTTCCATGCAGACAATAGTATTTCTATGCAGAAAAAAGTTATTTCCTATATAGAAAGTGCTGTAACTATACACTTATTCTACACAAAATTTACACATAGGTGATTTGCACAGAAAAGGGTGTTTCCTCCATTAAAAATGTGCTGTTTCTCTCCAAAGAAAACCCTGAATTGTTAGTAGATTTTGAAAAGCATGTTTTTTAAAGAGTTTCTTGCAGTAGGTATAAAATTGCAAAAAACAAAAAAACAAAACAAAACAAAAAAACCTACAATAGTTATTTCCTTAGAGAGGAAAACTAGGGAAGAATTATATCCCTAGACTATGTTTTAGTATTTCAGAAAATACTCAATTTTTGCTTGCACTGATATGGATTTACAGTGCAGTCATAACTCAAAGATAGGCTGCCTGCAGTGGGTTAGGATGAGATGTAAGGCACTTATACTGGCTGAACTGGCCTTAGGCCAACTGAACTTTTCTTTATACCACCATCATCCCTTATGTCATCTGATCTCAGAGATCAGACAGTTGAGAGATCAGCCAGAGCAAGGGCTGAGATCAGCAATCTGAAAAGCAAAACGGATGTGGAGAAAGGGTAGAATGGGAGAGGAGCCAAGTTACACCACATCCATGTCTGCTGATACACTGCAGAATTAATACAGTTGACACCACTTTAACTGTCATGGCTTCATCCTGTTAAATCCTAGGATTTGTAATTTGTTGTTGCACCAGAGCTCTCTGATAGAATTATATCTTACAAAATGACAAATCCCAGAATACCATAGCACTGAGCTATGGCTAATAAAGTGGCATCAAACTGAATTAACTCTGTAGTATAGATGCAGCTCATATCTCACTCAGCCCAGACACAGAGCTGCTATGTCCATTAGGCCAAGGCTAGGGAATAATGATGATATCTTTTTAAAAAGGTTTTTGTTGTTTGTTTGTGTTTGTGTGTGTGTTTTTTGTTTTTTGTTTTTTGATTAAGTCACAATCCTTTCTTTAAAATGTGGTTTGTATAAGACTTTCCCAAGGGTGGGAAAGTAGGCTTCCAGTTAGTCAATATCATTCCTTCTCTCTTTCTTCTTGTACTTGTTTACAAAAAAGGAAGAGAAGAAGAAAATAAGGATATTATTTTTGATACTAGGCTGCTTACTTTTCTAATGTTGTTGTTGTTGTTTGCCACTACATTGGATTTGACTTACTGAGACTGTGAATGAGAGATCTCCCAGCTTCCCTGTCATCAATTACACTGCCAAGGTCTTACAGACTCGGTGCTATAGCTTCCTTGATTGAATCAATCCATCTGTAGTATGGTCTCATTCTTTTCCTACTCTACCAAGCATTGTCATCTTTTCCAATTAGTCACACCATCTGCCCAAAGTATGGCAGCCTTAGTTTAGTCTTTTTTGCTTCCTTTGCTCTAAGACCCTTTTTAGCAAATGGTGCCTGCAGTTTTCTTCTCTAGCACTACATTTCAAATGAGTTGATCTTCTTCCTGTCAGTTTTCTGCACTGTCCAGCTTTCACTCCACACATAGAAATTTGAAATACTATGGCCTGTATGATTCTGACTGATATTTCATTATACATCTTTATACTTGAGAATCTCATTTAGTTCCTTCATGGCTGCCTTTCTGAGCTCTTAGTTCTTGACTACAGTCTCCATTTTGATTAATGTCTGAGCCAAGGTATAGGGAATCTTAAACTAATTCAATGTCTTTATTAACCCATTTTAAATATATGTAAACCATCTGTGGTTATTATTTTTACCTTCTAAATATTCAACTATAAACTTGCTTTTGTACTTTCTTTCTTAATTTTCATCAGTACTAATTCCAGTCAACCAGGCATTTCCTGCTATGGAGATAAGAAGTCCAGGAGTGGGGTTTTCTCTCAGTTAGCCACAATGGGGGCAAAAAGCAATGCAAATGGTGAGAACATTGGACAAGGGAGCCCTTTTGGCTAAATGTGACATAAAATCTGCTTTTAGGGTACTTCCAGTGCATCCTAATGATTTTAATTTGCTGGGTTTCCAATTGATGGGATGTGCTATTTTGATAAAGCAATGCCAATTGGGTGTCCTATTTCCTGCTCTGCTTTTGAAAAGTTTAGTACCTTTTACAATGGTATACGGTCAAGAGATCTGGCAATCATGCAATTACACACTCATTGGAAGACTTCTTGTTTGTGGGGGTTCCCAGCTCAATAGAGTGTGTGGATACTCTCTTGGCTTTCCAGGTCTTGATGGCAGAATTGGGTGTTCCCTTGGCTGATGAGAAGACGGAGGGCCCAAGTACCCGTCTTACATTTTTGGGTATTGAATTGGACACTGCTGAACGTTTATCCCGCCTCCCAGTTAAAAACTGGAATCAATGAGACAACAGGTCAGGGTAATGAAGGGGGGAAATCAAGGCTACACTAAATGACTTCCAATCCCTGACAAGTTTGTTAAATTTTGGTTGTAGGGTATAGTCCTGGTACGGGCTTCTTGTGCTCAGTTATAATGCCACAAAAGGGGTGACTGTTCCCTATTACCACATTCGAATTACAAATGGGATAAGGGAGGATTTGATGATTTGGGAGTTATTTGGATCAATTTAATGGTTTCATTTTGGAGGTTTGAGATGCTTAAAGGTGGAGTTTCAGGTACACTCCATGCTTTTGGTACCACGGCTTTGGGGTATACTGGAAAGGTCATTGGGCGGCTGAGAGTTGGCCTCAGTCTTGGGTAAATGACGATTGGACCCACGATCTTACTTTTCTTGAACTCTTCCCTATTGTAGTAGCAGTTCAGTTGTGGCCAACCCAATTTGCAATTAGAACTGTTTGGTTTTGATGTGACAAACAAGCAGTGGTTCTGTGGTGAACTCCCAGAGCTCCAAATCTTCCAGGGTGATGGTATTGGTTAGGTTTATTGTTCTGCAGTATTTATAGTACAATGGGTTGTTCCAGGCTCACCATGTTCATGGTTTACTAAATTCTTTGGCGGATGCCCCCTTTTTGTGTTTTCAGTTTTCCAGGTTTTGTTAAATGGATCCAAAGGCAGCAGTGCAGCCATTGGAGATACTGGCATACCCACAGAGCCTTGGAGAGTAGAGATTGACAGGCTGATTCTTCAGTCACGCTGTCGACACGCAAGTCTTATCAGCTCTCAATCCAAGCTTTCAGACAGTTCTTGTCTGATGTGGGGGGTGGTTGAAGTTTGGCCTCTGAGGGTAGAAATTGTAGCCTGAGGAAGTTATATTGTTCCAGGCGGCATTCTTCTTTGCCTTTTTGCATCAACCAGGATTAGTGAACTTATTCCCAGCTCACACTCTGACAAGTCAGGCAGGACACTTTGCTTATCTGATGTTCAAATGTCGGAGCAGGGTATTCTTGTCTCTTTCAGGCATACTAAGACTTCAGAGTTTTCTCTGAAGATGCTAGCCACAGATGCTGGCGAAACGTCAGAAAGAAACTCTTCTAGAACATGGCCACACAGCCCGAAAAAACCCACCAAAAAACATACTAAGACTGTTCAGATGGCTTGTAGGCCAGACTATAATTTTGTCTAAAGCATCTAAGGGTCAGATTTGCCTGGTTTTGGCATTGTCTGATTACCTCAGATTGTGACTGTTTACCTCAGATTGTGACTGATTACCTCAGATTGCGATTGAACGGCCCTGGTTATTCATTTTTTCATGTTTCTGGTCTTCCACTAATGTAGTTTCAATTACGAGCTTTGCTTTGGGAGATGGTGAGACGTGCGAGATAGCCAATGGATCAATTCTCCTCTCATTAATTTAGGATAGGGGCAGCAATTGTTACACCGGCACAGGGCTTAAGTGATACTGCAGTTTGACAGATTGGGCGTTGGTGTTCCAGGGCTTTAAAATCTTATATTCAGTCATAGGGTTTGCTGGAAATTTCATTATAAGGACGATAGAGTTACGTAATTATACTTAACTTCTTGTTTTTCATCGAGCAGGTCTGCAATGGGGTGACGTATGGATCCTAGGTTATAGCCTCGTCTTTGGGCTGAGTGTCATATCTTACAATCTTGCCGCAATCTGAACTTGGGGCCAAGGGGATCGGTTTCACATGTTGGTTGGAATGGAGAGGCATACAGTGGGGACCTCTTCATCCATTGTGTAATTGAGTCTGCAAACACTCTCCCCCCCCCCCAGGATTCTTCTTTTACACTTGGGAAAAAATGATTTGGTAAAGCTTCCCTGTTTGCAATTGGCCAAGTGTAATTTGAGAGACATCCGGGACATTAAGTGAAGAATCCTTCATAGTGTTGTTCGGTGGACTAAATTTTTGCCTCGTCGTACTGGACGGGTACACGGAAAGACTCGGCTATCAACACGGCTCACTGGTTGAACAGAACTGTGGCCAAGAAGTTGGCAGACTGGGGAATTTGGTGGTTGACCATGAGTGAATTTAAGTATGGTTGCCACATCTCTACAGGGGTGGTAGGGTTCATCTCTCCTTTGAGGGATCTGACGTATACTTGGACGCTATTGCTGTTACATTGAACAAGCTCTTCTGTGGGGGGAGGGGATGCCAAGCTAGGCTGGCCCCCTCCTGTG